TTTTCACCTAACTTGTTAAATGAATACAGCACACACGAGCTATAATCTTCCAAACGACTGTCTTCGTCGCGGTGTTTTTTGTTTGATCTCTCAGCTCGCGCCCACAGCCCCAGCGGCGGGAGCGCGTGCACCGAGCGGAAGGTGACTGACCTGGTCTGTGTGTTGAACCGCAGAGGAGACGCTTCTGCTCTGCTTCTGGTTCGGTTGTTTCCCTCGCCTTCCCCCCGTCGGCACCGAGCGTACAGAGCCGCGGCGGTGCTGGAGGTGGTCAGGTCGGTTTGGCGTGGAGTCTGGAGTTCATTGCTGCCGAGCTGCTTTTGGTCGGTCTGTCCCCCCTCCCTCCCCCCGTCCCACTCCACTCAGCCTCCCGGGATCTTGATGGAGGCATCAAGTTACCTTGTGAAACCCGGTTTGTCTTCATTTTAACGGATTGTGCAAACGCATGTTCGCAATATTTTTGCGTGACAGGTGACTTTATTATTATTTATTATTATTGTTTGTTTATCTTTGAAATCTCTGAACACTTCTGAGCCCTTGTTTTCGCGCAGATCCGCTGCAGCCATATGTCCCACAGCTCTCTGAGGTAGTCTAAAAAAGTTAAATCTGGTCCTCTGGACATAAAGCCCCCCCCAACAAAACTGTAGAAACGTTTCATCTTTCTTCTGAAACACTACTTCAGTCTGAGGTGCTGTATTCAGCTCAGTCTTATAAATAGCACTCTCTCACAGTGGATCAACCAGTTTGCTGCTGACAACCAAAACCAGCTGCTCACATGATCAAGGAGGACCATCAGCCTAACAATGGATCATTAGCACACTGATGGCTGTTTGCTATTCACTCCTTGATCTTTTCTACATTTTTTTTTTTTTTTTTTTTTTTTGAATGTCCAGAGGACCAGATTTAACTTTTTTTTAGCTTTTCTACCTGGATTATTGAGCCTGAATCAGGAGATTATCTGAGGTAGAGTTGCACTCGGGTCCAAAAAATCCAACCTGGCCCCAGCCTGCAGCCATCAGCTCCGAACCCCACCTGATCTAACGAACTAACAGTAATTACAGGTCTGAACAACATTTTTAAGCTTTGTCTACTTATACCACTGACTATTATTAA